AATTCTAAAACGAAATATTTTTTAGTGAAAAATGTGTAAATTGCAAAGATCTAACCGTATTAATTTTTTCAGATTATTTAAATTAAAAAGAAATATGGAACGCACTAAACCACACGTCTTTGGATGTGTTGTGTTTTGGTATGCGTTCTAAGCTTTCATGCACATTATGGAACGCAGTTACTGTTTTCTTCTTTTATTTTATTTTTGTTTTAATACACAAACCACAAATGAAAGTAATGTTGAATGGTGACAAATATTAGTCCCGTCCACTAAACCGCATGGAACGCACGAAACATTCAAGGCCTATATATTATTTTTTTATTCAAGCTTTTATTTTACATATCAAAAGATAGTTTTTTTTTTTGTATTGAAATATTTTAGATTTAATTTGGTGCATAACAAAAACAAAATTGTTGTCATTTTATCGTAATAGATATTGGATATGGAAACTGTTGGGGAAAAACAAAACAATAAGCACCAATGGCGCATCGGAATAAATTTTCTCACACTTATGTGAACCTGTGAGAAAAATATAGAATACGGCAGTCGCAAATCAAAGCAGTAAAGCAAATGAGACAACGAATTATTTTATGTGAAAAACCTCCTCAATCTAAGGAGTAAAAATCACGGGACCGTAGTCCACTCAAAAATCCACTTTATCAAATTTGAGTTACAACCACGTCCTCCCTGTTCCCACAGAGCAGATCTAGAGACTAAGGCTCCAAAGAGCAATCTCCAACACAAGAAACACCGAAAGAGAGCAATACAAGAGCATAGAAACAAGCAGTCCCAAACAACCCTAAATTCACTAGGATTCCAGTCACCAAATCAGATCTCCACCGTACAAATCCTAGATAAACAAGTCAGAAATATCTCTGCCAAATTTCAGCTCAATCCAAGAAGAATTCACCGTCGGATTTCCCAAACACTCAAGACAACACTGTCTGAAATCTGAACTCGCAACAGCAGCGAACAACCTCGCTAAAACTCAGATCTGCGACGAACCAACCGTTGAAATACAATCTCCACCGTTGAGTATCAAGATGACTGACTCACGAAGCTAATCCAAAAATTTCAGCCAAATAGGAGCAAGTTTAAGCCTCCAAACATTCTCTTGAACAAACCCTGACGAAACTATTTTTCTCTTTCTTAGCCTACGAAAATTGCCTCTCTTCAATTAGTTTCTCACTTTCACCAAAATTAGGTTTGGAGTCATATATATACTCCCTCATAACCCTTAGCCCAATAACAATATCATGGATCATAATAGGCCCAATTTTGATTTTTCTTAAATCAAACCCAAATTGGTTTCCCCACTAGGAGGAAAACCAACAAACTCCCCCTTCGACTAGGTGGAGGAAACAGTCATTTCGGCTATCTCTCGACAGACTCCAAGCTTCCCCCTCGGGAATGACTTCGTCATCATATCAGCTCCATTATCATCTGTATGAACTTTTGAAAGTTCCACTTCCTTAGAAGCAACCACTTCACGTATCC